TTCCCTACAATATTATTGTTATAACAAGAGCTGACGTGTGGAAATAAGTGATAGACATCAACTGTCTGCTCATAGCTTTATAGTGTGCTTTTGCTTTTCTGGAGCTTTTTCTTTTCAAATAAAATTGTACATGGCCACAAGATACCTTTACATGTAGGAGAGACCTGCCAATATTTTGAATTTCTCTGCTTTAAGTGTTATGGATAAGAATGCAAGTGTATACACCGGGACGTTAAAATTTTTGTTGCCTGCCTACTGGCACCTCTGTGGCTGAACATTTATTAGCAGTACCACTGAAGCCAGCTAACACAGCCACTGCAAGCCCCAGCACAGCCCAGAGCTGCCTACTCCCCACCCTGGCTGCTTGAGAAAACTGACGAGAGAACTCACTGAGCTGAAACATTTTCCAGTAAAAAAAGGAAAAAAAAAAGAAAAAAGAAAGTTTATTTTTAGCAGCACCAGTTCTCAGTCCAGATCCCTCCACAACCACATGCACATTTGTGCCAATGCAACGCAGAGGACAGAGTAAAAACAAGAGGTCAAGGCAGCAAATGGGTATGCCAGTTCTACTTCCAAGAAGTTACTTGTCAAGCAAGGCTCCATTAGTGGTCTGCAATGCTGCAATTCAGTGCACAGAGTACTGCAAGGGGCTGCTTCAGTCTGAGTATTGTGGACATCTCCAGATGGGATGAATCAGTCTCTGCTAGTGCCTGCCTCACCACCGACTACAGAAGGAGTCTGGGTGACTATATGCTTAATTTGGACAGTTAAATTTACATTAAATGAATTGCATGCAAAATATGCACAGACCAATGAAAATTACATAGTTAATTAGAAAAAAAAGGTTTAAATAGTTTGCTGGTGATGGCTCTACTTCAGAAAGAACTAATTTTGGCAAACAAAGTGCTTAATATAATGTAGATTTTATGAATGTTCTCATAGATGACTTTTATGTCTGGGAAAGTTCAAGACGGGCTTTAACTGAATAGTCTGTAAACACACTAATAATTACCAAATAACTACATAAGACAAGGAGTTTGTAAACTGCATGTGTTATCAACTGTGTAGTCTCCTAGCTGTTTATGTTTTGCTAGTCTTATGCCCAAAATTCAGCAAATAGAAAGGCTGCCTTCCTCTGAGGGGGTACACTGCATGATGCAGTGTAAAAGAGTCCCCAGTTTGGAAAATCAATGAGGTACTGGCCAACATGGTGATTAATACTCTCAAAAAATGTTATCAGCTGAAATTTAGATGTCAGTCTTTGAAAATGTCATTGATTTGTTTGACTGACAGAGCTCCAGGCTGCTAAAGCAAATACAGGTCTTGTACAAATACAATGATAACAGCCAAATATAAACTGAGAAAGAGGGAGGAGTAGCAAATTACAAAGCACCAAAGTCAGCGAGTAGCTTCCTTAAGTAATTTTCTTGTTTCCTTTTCAATTTGTTTTGGTGTCTTTCAGAACACATGTAGGGTTTATAGTCTGTGAGAAAATTGGTTTTTAAGAAGTCACTTGGTAAAAATGAGCATTTGTGACTGAAGAGAAAAGCTAAGGTGTTTTCTCTGTAACTGTGTACCTTTAGTAGTTCTGCCAGCCTGAGTCTGTGTGTCTGAAGAAGAACAACAACTACCGTTCTAGAGATACTCTCTGTCTCCGTGGTTTTGCTGCTGGCACAGAAGAGGTTACACACCCAGCCCTGGGAGAGAAGCACCCTCTGGATACAGGCGGGCATGGCTCACAGGACTCTTTTAAGGGGAGGAGTGCCCTCTATTGCACAGTATAAGCATCGTTCATTCCCTCAAATAACAGTGTAACTAACAGGAGCTTCTGCGGCCCCACAATGGATTTTTTAAAAAGGTATATGGAAAGGACACACCTAGAAAACAACTTATTGATTTACCTTCTTCTTGCATTCTTAAGTGGTACATTAGACAGAGTGAATAGCATTAGATCTGAAAACTCAGATCCCAGATTTTATTTCTATCCTGGTCACACACACCTTTCTGAGTTCCTCTTAAAAAAAAGTTTCAAACCACTTAACTGGAAACAGCCAGCGATGTCACTTAAAATATATGACAACAGAGCTTGGAACCATTTACCCCTCAGGATGGTTCCATCCTGTTTCCTATGTCTATCAGCTACCAGAAATATCACAACCCCTTCCTTCACAAGCAACAAACCTCTGCCTAAGCATTAGGACTTCTTTTCTGTACCTTATCTCTCTGCCTAAGTCCTCTTAGTTATGATGCTTATTAGAAATCAACTAATTAATAATGGTCATTGAGAATGGATAGTTACTGATATATTTTGAAGTAGTATCTTTCTTAATTCATTGTGAGGCCTAAAGGAACTTTAGTGTGGATTTAGAGAGGAACAGAATTACCCTGGGTTTGAGTACTTTCAAATGTGCTATTAGTTTGTCTTTTTAAAGTAGTTGTGTATCTGCATAAGAACATAGTTACGTTTTCCTTCCTTTTCCTTAGTCCTTTGCTTGTCATCTAACCACTGAGATTTTAAAATTATAAGCCCAGGAACCTCTTTTTAGGTCAGTGAGGTCCTTCGCACCAAGTCTGGACAAAGGCTTCTCAGTGATGCTGCCGTAAAAATATTAAAATTGGTCATCCATGGACTTTTAATGTGTTTCTTCACCTGAGGGTCATGGCACACTTAGCAGAGAAAATACCAGTTGATTTTTTTTTAAAATGCTGGCAGAAGACATAACAGTAAGACAAGAAAAAAAAGGGGGAGTGGGGGGAAAGTACTTTCTTTTTTAAGCAGGGAGGATAGAAGCACATACATGGCTGAGGTCTGTCTTGCCCTCACATGAAACCGGCATAATATATCCAAGAATTGAGAGCTGATCGACACAATTCTCCAGCACAGCAGTAAACAGCAGAGCTTCCAGATGAGTGAGTTTTTCCATTTCCTTAGTCACTGTGTTCTTGCTAAGAGGAACAAAGACAGAAGATACTAATGAGAAAGGCTATGGTGCTAGCAGTAGTTTAAACAGTAGTTTAAACTAAAGGTAGACCTGAAATAGCCTTGTTTGCAGCCTTTCATATACTTCCTTAGCTTTGTTTATAGTCTTTCGTATGCTGTTTATAAGAGAAGCTATGCTCTGATAATGGCTGCATTCAGGGACAGTGGGAATGTTTAACTTTCACAAAACAAAGTAGGGCCTAGTCCCTCCTACCAGTAGATCTGGATAAATAGGCTGAGGAGGGAATGGATATGGGAGTCACAAACTGGGTGAGGTGGCCTCACCATTCAGTTTGAGGGGGAGCAGTGTTTCATGATGGACTTTATTCTTTGCAAAACAATGGAATGAAGGTGCCTTTTTAAAAGGAAGAAAAATAAATCCACATCTTATAAAATCTCAGATCATGAGATTCATGCTCTAATCATTCCTCGTTATTACTGTGTAGCCTTAACACTTTCATGATGCAAATTGCCTCAGAAGGAACTGTTATCACCTTAAGATGTTGAAAATCAAACAAGAACCAATATCTGGACTAAGTAAACTATCTTTAACATTGTGTTGTTTTATTTTAAATTGCATTTCAAATGTAAAACTGCTGTGATGTATATTTTAGCATCTCTTTGCCTTGCTTACACATGGAATATTGTGAAAGTGCTTCTAGGAATGGTGGGAATTCACTATTAGTCCAAGTGAAATTGGTCCATTTAGAAAAATGCGTAAGAAAATACCTGCATAAATGATGGAGAAATTCTGAGACTTTTAATGTTTTGGTAAGCCATTAGGCAATCCCTCCAAGCCCAAAACATCACTTTTCCTTTCTTTTCATCCTTGGAATCAATGATAGAAGTGGAGATGCGCAAATTAAGTATTTTTACATAGAGAAAGTCAGACAATGTTTTTTTCCAGTCAGCAGGCACTAATAAAATATTTTTAAATGTTTAACTTGGTTTTGTCTTTTTAAGAAATCTACAATCCATGTTTATAGTCTAAACAACATAAAAATAATCTATTACATGTAGAGTCCTAATGCTAAAAATATGGTAAAAACAAAAAAAGGTTTGTTGTGACAGAGCTGTGACAGATGACTGCAACAGCATTCTTGAAAGAAGAGGTAATGCTTGCAGCTTTTATAGGAAAAAGTGACTTAATTGCAAACAAAGGGGGATGCAATAGCTTCTCTCTATCCCATCAGCAGCTTCTGCCCAGGACAGAATTTACTCAAGATATTAATATGTGTTAAAAAACCTCACGGCTGGAATGTATCTCTAAAGCCTGCTGGTTTGCTCCTCCTGTGTATCTCCTCTTATAACCATATACTCCCTCAGAAGATGCATGTGCCAAGCCACTACACTCTGGACTTATGTTGACTTGGAAGTGAGAAGGAAACCACTGTCGGGAGCATTAAGAAACAGTACAAATAGTGAGCTGCTTTCTCTGGATTTTAGCATTAATGCAGTCCCACGGACCATCCTGATGTAGCCATTGGCATTGGCTTTAATCACTGTGCTTTACCGAACTTGTTCATTAAACTGTATTAATAATAATAAAAGAAAAAAGGAAGTATGTGAAGGATTCAGTTTTCCCAAAGAGTTTAGGTTGACATTCTTTCCCTGCTGATCTAAAGGGAAAGAAAAACATATTGAGAAATAATTTTTAAAACAACTGTATAAGAAGTCTGGCCTCCTGTTCCTTTGGGGATTGCAACTCCCTCTGCTGTGTGAGAGCCCTGGATGCACATTTCTCCCATCCTGTTGCCTGATAAACTAAAATGGCTTCAAAGGCAGCATTCCTTTTAGTCAATTAAGGATTCCAGTGAGAAAATTCAAACCTGAAAATGCTACATCTCCTTCAGCTCTATTTTGCAAATGATTGGCAAAGAGAGATTCGAATATCCATAGTGATAGCAGCTGGGTCAAAAATCAGAAATACCTTATATTTAAAAAAAAAAAAAAAAAGTCTCTTAGGCAAGCAAAATAGTTGTGGTCTTTCAAAACCCTGCCTACCACTATAAACGTTAGAACACATCTTGGATTTGGCTTAGAGGTGTAATATAGTTTTCATCCTGACTGTAAAGACTTTCCGCTCCTGCTCTCTGAGGCTGCGCTGAAGAGAACCCTGGAGAACTGAGTGCAGGAAAGAAAGATGTGGTGCTACTTGTAGCTGTATGTCCCATACGGGACTAGATCTGTGTGGGACAGGAAAAGGTAAGATTTAAGGAGCATTTATTGGCTGTGGCATCTCTACTGCTGGAAAACAGTGTTTTAACAGTTTATTCTCCTCAAAGCAGGGATTGTGTTTTCTCTAAGCAGAGTTGCCTAGCACACATTTGATACTGGTAAACGGATAGATTACTGAGCTCTGCTTTGCTTTCTACCTCTTCCTTAAAGTAGAAGCCAACAGAGTAGTTTGGAGAATTCGTAATATTCTATTCCTTCTCTGCTCTTACTTCCTAACAATTTAATCTCTCTAAGAAAAAACTCTGCTTATACATGCTTGCAAGGCATTGTGTGCTTCTACTCTGGCCCAACAATGTACAAATAGACTTGATTCTCCTCCTGGATCAAGATTTAATTCCTCAGACCAGGCTCAAGCTCTCCAAGCCCACCTCGTGACAAGACAAGAGTAGACTCTGGTCCTGAGATTCCTGAGATCCTTTTTCTTCCCCCTCTCTCCCCCCCCCAAAAAACCCTCTCTGGACACATGTTCAGATGCAGCTTAAGGCACTTGGGAACAAAGTCACAGTGAAAATCTGGCGAGCCAGGACACATTTTCCTCACATTTCTGGCTATGTGAGGGAAGTGACAGAGAACACGAGTGAATGACCCTAACATGGGAAAAAGGGTAAGAGAAAACATGTAATTCTAAAGGGATCTGAGTGTAGAAATACACGTTTTCTGTCACCAAGGTGATGTCGGGAGTGAAATAAATGTTGAGATGATTCAGTTCAAGGTGAGAACGGAGGCAGATGGGCAGGGCCCGGAAAGCAGCCATCAGAAGAGGGCCCCAGAGCCCTGGCCATCCCAGAAGCAGCAAGCACTCCCCTTCACCTCCTCGCTGCCCCCTCGTAGGACTCCTCGGCTTGTTCTACCACCGCAGACGGTTTTCACCACCGGGCTGCGGCCCCGTTCGCCCTGCCAGGCCTCCCCTCAGCCTCCGCGTCGGGATATACTCCCCGCTCCGCTCCTACCCCTGGCTGTTGCAGGG